TAAAATGTATTATGCTATAGATAAGTACATATATTTGCATATATATATATATATGTAATTCCTTGATATGGTTTGGCTGTGTCCCCACCCAAATCTCATCTTGAATTCCCATGTGTTGTGGGAGAGACCTGATGGGAGGTAATTGAATCACAGGGGCAGGTCTTTCCCTTGCTGCTCATGATAGTGAATAATTCTCATGAGATCTTATGGTTCTGTAAGGAGGAGTTTCTCTGCATAAGCCTTTTTTTTCTTGTTTACTGCCATCCGTGTAAGATGTGACTTTCTCTTCCTTTCCTTCCACCATGACTGTGAGGCCTCCCCAGCTGTGTGGAAGTGTAAGTTCATTAAACTCTTTCCTGTATAATTACCTGGTATCAGGTATGTCTTCATCAGCAGCATGAAAATTGACTAATACAATATATTAGTACTAATAGAGTGGGGTGCTGCTGAAAAGATACCTGAAAATGTGGAAGCAACTTTGGAACTGGGTAACAGGCAGAGATTGGAACAGTTTGGAGGGCTCAGAAGAAGACAGGAAAATGTGGGAAAGTTTGGAACTCCCTAGAAACTTGTTGAATAGCCTTGACAAAAATGCTGATGATATAGACAATAAAATTCAGGCTGAGATGGTCTCAGATGGAGATGAGAAACTTGTTGGTAACTGGAGCAAAAGTGACTCTTGTTATGTTGTAGCAAAGAGACTGGCTGCATTTTCCCCCTGTCCTAGAGATTTGTGGAACTTTGAACTTGAGAGAGATGATTTAGGGTATCTGGCAGAGAAATTTCTAAGCAGCAAAGCATCTAAGAGGTGACTTGGGTATTGTTAAAGGCATTCAGTTTTATAAGGGAAGCAGAGCATGAAAGTTCAGAAAATTTGCAGCCTGATAATGCAACAGAAAAGATAATCCCATTTTCTGAGGAGAAATCCAAGCCAGCTGCAGAACTTTGCATAAGTAACAAGGATCCGAATGTTAATCCCCAAGACTTTGGGGGACTGTAGGGAAGGCATGATTGGTTTTGAAATATGAGGACATGAGACTTGAGAGGGGCTGGGGGCAGGCAGAATGATATGGTTTGACTGTATCCCCACCCAAATCTCATCTTGAATTCCCAAGTGTTGAGGGAGGGACCCAGTGGGTAGTAATTGAATAACTGGGGCAGGTCATTCCCATGCTGTTCTCATCATAGTGAGTAAGTCTCATGAGATCTGATGGTTCTATAAGGGAGAGTTTCCCTACACAGGCTTTTTTTTTTTTGCCTGCTGTCATCCATGTAAGACGTGACTTATTCTTCCTTGCCTTCTGCCATGATTGTGAGACCTCCCAAGCCATGTAGAACTGTAATCCCATTAAACGCTTTTTCTTGTATACATTGCCCAGTCTCGGGTATGTCTTCATCAGCCATATGAAAACAGACAAATACTTACCTATTTCATAAAACCACCCTCATTCTGGGTAAAGATATTAATAGGAAGTGAAGACTGATCCCAAAAAAGAGAGGTCATGCTTACAGATGCAGCAAACATTGGCTAAACACGATGCTGTGACAAGAACAGTAGAGTTGTGCTTGTAAGGAATTTAGTCCTTATCCAGGAAAAGTAGTTAAAACACACATGAAAGATGAAAGGCTTGTATAAAAAGAAGCTTAAGGCATAGTTTTTTTTCAGTGACCCCCAAGCTTTCAGGAGTGTGTACCCACCTGGATACAGCCTAACAATACTGGTCCTCTTGAAACTGTCTCATACTATGACCTTGGGACCTTTTGCATCAGAGTCACATTGGGGACTTATTAAAATGCAGAACACTGGGCCTCACCTAAAAATCCATTGAATAAGAATCTCTACGGCTGGATACTGAAAGTTTTGGGTTTTTTTTTTGTGGAACTTCCTGGTTGATTTTTTTCACATCCTAAATTTTGAAATCATTGCCATGTCAAGAAGAGTAACTTGCCATAATTTCATGGCCTGAGAAAAATAGTCCCAAAAATGCTGTATTTTAATAAAATTTGATTAAAATGTGACATTAGCTTTGATAAAAATGCAAAATAATTTGTCAACTCCTTTGATGGGTTTAAACTGGGCACTGGCTTGTTTGAACACTTTTGCTTTTTTATCAAATGGTTTACATATCTGGGATGGCTGGAGCTGGGAGTGAAAAAAAGCAGAGTGTTGTGAGAGACACAAGAAAGGTAGATGGGAATAAGCCAGGAAGGACTATTTTAAGAGTATCATTTTGTATACTAGTAACAATGGACACTCACTGACAAATAGTGAATGTTTAAAAAGCGGCAAAAAGTGTTCACTTGGCTTCCAGCATTCCTGAGAGCACTTTCTGGGAGCAGGGAGGAAAACAGGGTGGGGAAGTGTGATAACATGGAGACCAGTTGATTCCTGAAGAGCTACAGATGAGCGGAGATGGTGGCTTTGGGGTAGTGAATTGGTAATCAGAAGGTAGACCTTCTTGACTTTAAGAGAGACATAAGAGGCAGAATTCACAAAACTTGGTTATTGATGGGATGTAGTAGAGGGAGAAGCAAAAAGAATAATTACAGGCTTTTGACTTGGGCATTTGGATAGCGGTGACATTTGCTTAGACAGAAAAGCCTGGATGAAGACAACCAGGTTGGTGTTGTTGAAACAAGATGGGGATAATTCATCAATTTAACTTTGGATATTTGGAGTGTAATAAAGTAGCGATATCGGCCGGGCGCGGTGGCTCACGCCTGTAATCTCAGCACTTTGGGAGGCCGAGGCGGGTGGATCATGAGGTCAAGAGATCGAGACCATCCTGGTCAACATGGTGAAATCCCATCTCTACTAAATATACAAAAAATTAGCTGGGCATGGTGGCGCATGCCTGTAATCCCAGCTACTCAGGAGGCTGAGGCAGGAGAATTGCCCGAACCCAGGAGGCAGAGGTTGCGGTGAGCCAAGATCACGCCATTGCATTCCAGCCTCGGTAACAAGAGTGAAACTCCACCTCAAAAAAAAAAAAAAAAAAAGTAGTGATATCAAAGTAGAAACATCTAGTAAATAAATACATCTAGAATTCAGGAAAGAGATTTGGCCAGGATCAGAAACAGAGCTGTTGGAGTCCCCCTCAAAAGAAGAAGAATTAAAAGCATAGGAGTAGGTGTAATTATATAAAGACAGTCTGAAATTGTGATGAGAAGTGGGTCTAGGCTAGCACCTGAAGAATAGCAATATTTAAAGGATAAGCAAACAAAGAGGAGTATAAAAAAGGAATGGAAGAAAACATCTAAAGAGGCAAAGGACAGGAAGGAGTAGGCAGTTAAGGGAAAAGAACATTTCTAGAAGGAAGGAATAGCCTACAGTGGTGCTGATGCTATGAGTTTAAGTCAAGATGGCCCCACATATATGTATACAAAACACACCTAAGCAAAGAAGAGAAAGACTTCATATTGGAAAGGACTAAATGGCATAGGAGGAGCAGTGCTAATAGTGACTGACCAAATGCAAAATGCAGTGCAGTTAAAAGTTGCAAAGTAGGCCGGGCGCGGTGGCTCAAGCCTGTAATCCCAGCACTTGGGAGGCCGAGGCGGGTGGATCACGACGTCAAGAGATCGAGACCATCCTGGTCAACATGGTGAAACCCCATCTCTACTAAAAATACAAAAAAAAAAATTAGCTGGGCGTGGTGGCGCGTGCCTGTAATCCCAGCTACTCAGGAGGCTGAGGCAGGAGAATTGCCTGAACCCAGGAGGTGGAGGTTGTGGTGAGCCGAGATCGCGCCATTGCACTCCAGCCTGGCTAACAAGAGCAAAACTCCGTCTCAAAAAAAAAAAAAAAAAAAAGTTGCAAAGTATATTTTTCTTTCCAAAAGAAATGGGGTCTGAGTTAATTCTTGATGAAGGATGGATGTTTGGATAACTGAAGGAAGCCTTATGTTGAATACAAAGTCTCATCATTTTGGAGACCCAATTGCTGTATGAAAGTGGCACAGTTCAATGTAATATCAATTTTAGTCATGGTCACCAGTGCACACTGGCTTCCAAATTTTTTTTAGTGATTAAAAAAAATTTTATGCTGACCAGGATTCATTCATCAAACTTTTAAGAGCCACTAATTTCACTTGGCCAGATAGATCTCCCTAATTTTAATTCAATTTGGATCTGATCAATCTGTCTCCTCCCCTTGAACGCCTCCTTTGGGTTTCATGGTTCCATGGGTGAAACATGAAACTTCTATTCAAAACTATTCTAGAAGATTTTGTGGATGATACAATTGGAGCTCTTCAACTCTCAAATGTTGGAACATTCCACAAACAAAACTCTCACATTAGAACTGTAAGATCCCCTAGATGTAATCTAGTCTCCCATTTCACAGGGAGCAACATGTGAACCTAAGAGCTAAATTAACTTACCCAAGGCCATACAGTGGAAAAACTACATCAGGTAACTCCAGTCATGGGTTCTAATTGCCTTTTAATAAGCACTCTGTTTCCTCATTCCATGTTGCCACTGGTCTTCCAGAAGATGACATTTGGTCATAGCCATTGGCTCGGATTATGGTCACATGGAACAATTAGACCCGATTCCAGGATTTGTTTTGAGTTATTAGGGAAGCACACCCTTTACCATTGTTTTGGAACTTAAGCAGCTGCCACAATTTTACCCTTAGATGAAGAGAATCTTTCTGAGAATAGAGCTAAGACAGCAGATGACAGAAAGAAATCAGATCTCAGTGCCATGGTATCAGCCACTTGTCAAGCCATGCCTCACGAGCCCTACCCATGAAGGTGCCACCTAAATGAGCCCTTTTTGCATAATTAGATTGTGTTTTCTGTCCCTTACTATTAGGAAGGTCCTGATTTATTAAGTAATTCTTCCACTGTCCCTTAACTGAAAGCAAGATGTCCCTAACGAAGGTGAAATGCACTGGTAAGTCTGAAGAATAGAAGAATCTCAAGCAGCCTTTAAAACATGTGCCTCATGCTCACGTCACTTCCTGAGAAATTTCTGGCTTGAATAACCTTACTCACCTTGGCTTTTGTTGCTTCATTATGAAATTTAGGTGAAGAGGCTGCAGTCATTCTGATTCTTGAAGAAAGTAATCACATCAGAACCTTGGGCCCCATGCTGGCAATCAGCTGGCTCAACTTTCCCTAGGACAATACCAAGGAACCTTCAAAAGCAATTTTCCATCTTCCCATTGATTAAACCCAAAAACCATTTTTTTGAAATAGGAGTTGATTGTTCAACAAGAAAAAGCTTTCAAAGTTTCAGCATGGTTTTCTCCATGCTAATTGTAGGTTTAAAATGAGAGATTCAACATTAAGTATTTCTGTCAAGAATAAAGATAAAGAAGTATTTGGAGGGTTGAAAGGGTATAGGTCTTGAGGGTTAACAACCTGGCTCCAGTCTGAGTTTTGCCACTCATAGCTGTGTATCCTTGCCATCTCTGGACTACCGTTTTTGTTATTTATTTATTTTTTGAGACAGAGTCTCACTCTGCAGTTCAGGCTAGGGTGCAGTGGCACGATCTCAGCTTACTGCAAACTCTGCCTCCTAGGTGCAAGTGATTCTCCTGCCTTAGCCTCCCTAGGAGCTGGGATTACAGGCACCTACCAGCACGTTTTGGTATTTTTAGTAGAGACAGTTTCACCATGTTGGCTGGGCTGGTTTGGAACTCTTGACCTCAGGGATTTGCCTGCCTCAGCTTACCAAGTGCTGGGATTACAGGCATGAGCCACCCGGCCTGGCCAGGACTATAGTTTTGGATAGAGTAGAGGAACTGAATTGTTTCTTTAGTGGCTACTTGTTTACTAATATTTTGTCAGAATCATTGAGAAAATGCATTTTGGGGTTCAGGATTCTCACAATGTAATTCACTGGCTGAATTACGTTCTGCAAGAAACTTGACCTCTCCTGAGCATCTGTTTCATGATCTAGAAATTGTGGTAAATAAATGTATTTACATTTTAGGAATTTTTATGGAATAAATAAGATTATACACATAGCATTTAATTTATACAAGTTAAATAAATTGCAATAATAATTATTAGCAACTTAAAATTTTATAAAAGTTTCCAAAGATGTAATGAAAGATAAACTCTTTTAAGACTGGGAGCTCTGCTGTTTGATATGCTTCAGGAATTGCTTAAAAGTATAGAGCCTAGGATGAGTGTACACAGGACATGGAGGGAGGAGTTGGTCATCTTCATGGTCTTTTCTCTCACCTGCTTAAAAAAGTTAACTTATTTTGCACGGAAATGTGTAAAGTATATATATTTGTATATATAAACATAAATACATGTATATATACACACCTACACATGTATACATACACAAAAATGCATGTATATTGTTGGCCTCTGAACAATGAGAGGGTTAGGTGTGCTGACTCCCCCCAAAATTAACTACTGATAGTCTACTGTTGACACAGTTATTACATAAACAGTGGATTAGCGTATATTTTATATAATATACTGTACTCTTACAATATAGTAAGCTAGAAGTAAAAATGTTATTAAGATGATCATCAAAAAGGGAAAATAAATGTATTATTCATTAAATGGAAGTGAAGCATCATAAAGGTCGGAGTAGGCTGAGGAGGAGGGGGAAGAAGAGGAGTTTGGTCTTGCTGTTTCAGGAATGTTAGAAGTAGAAGAAAATTTATGTGTAAGTGAACCCACACAGTACAAACCTATATTGTTCAAGGGTCAACTCTGTGTGTGTGTGTGTTTGTGTGTATACACACATGAGATTATGTATGTCTGTATACACACGTATATGTATATGTGTATATGTATATATATGTGTGTATATATATACAATCTTGGCTTACTGCAAACTCCACCTTCTAAGCATGTGTGATTATATATATGTGTATGTATGTGTGTATATATATGTATACATATACACGTATGTGTGTGTGTGTATATACATACACATATATATAATCACATGGAAATAAAAGATGAGCTTTTTCCTGAGTAGGCCCTTTCCACAAGGGACATTTTAGTAGAAAAAGGGTGAACATGTTCTGGTTTCCTTTATACGACCCAGAGTCTGACCCTATGGCTCATGAGCTTGGCCCTGCATGGAACCTTTGCAATAGCCTAGTGAAAAGCCCACAGGGAGGCAGGGAGGCCAAACTGTTTTCCTATGCTGGGCTTCAGAATCTCCCTGCTGACTTGGCAGCATGAGAACAAGAAGTAGAAATTCCTTTTACCCTTGTAGGACCTTGGTCATAGCCCTGTAGAATTTAAATGTCTAAGATTTTTTTAAAAGTTTAGCCTCAGCAAAATATTGTCTGAAAATGCAGAGATTTCTGCTTGTGTTAGATGACTTAATGGTTTTGGATGGCAATGAAGTATTTCCTTTAAAAAATGTTTCCTTTAAAATGTATTTTTTAGAAGACAGAAGACAGTCAAACTTAAATGTCTAAAAAGGCTTCCATCTTTTTTATAACATAATTTTTTAACATATTCCTTGAAGAAATATGACAGAAACAACTGCTTTACAGAACAGTGAAATTATACTTAATTTAGCAATGAGAGTAAATCTCCCTCTGAAGCATTTCACTTCTAATCAGTCTTAAGTAAGTGAAGAGACGTTCATCGGGAGCATAATTTACTCTTTATACAAAAGAAAAAAAATTCTAGAATAATTTACTACATTTACATCTCCAACCCAAACATAAAATGAGGAGGAAACCAATTTTCCTATCATATGAGATAATGATTTATAGGAGAAAAGAGAATTAATTTATCTTCTTGTAGGACATGAAAATATCCAAGAACAAACCATTGTGATGTTTTTTAAGCACATAAAGAGAGACAAGTACAATGCAAATACCTTTGATCTCAAAATCTTCCTCTTTTTGTGTCTTAAAAAACGTCTTGTGTCTTGTCTCCCAGTTAAGCATAATAAGCATAGGTTCTTGAAAGGGTTATAGCCTCAATTAGAGCTATAATGTTCCCTCCTCCTGTGAATGTTCTGTATCGGACACTCTTTCCAATGCACACTTTTTATATTTAATTACTTCCTGTACACAAAGAAAAAAAATGTTTCCAAAGGATTGTTAAACGTTAAACTTACATGAAATCTTAGCATGGGGCTAACATTTTGCCCAAAGTTTCCCCAGTCATCTAGAAAGTTTATTTCTCTGAAAAGATGTTAGCTTTTTCTCTGTTTTAGCAAGACACGCCTGCAGAGTTTTCTCTTCCTGCCAGCCTCTCCTTTGAAGAGTCTTAATCCCACCTTCACTGACTCTCCTCGGCTATCACAGAATTTTTTTCATCAAGAAAGTATATATACAAGCGATACATAAAGAAATGGATAGAAAGCACTTAGAAAGATCTTAGAGGCTGCCTAGTCTTTCTTTCCTCTAGCCATTCATTTTCAAGAGGGTGTGACTGAGAAGCAAAAATGATAATTCATACAAAGAAATGGTAGAACTCAGATTAAAATCTTATTCTTATGATTTAGTCTATACTTTCCCCACTGTACTGAGCTTCTCCATGATCTTGTAAGCCATTATTTCAGTTCTGTGGTTTGCTGTGCACTTCTTATTAAAATGTTGCTCCTTACCCTGCAATACCTCAATTATCTTCAGGATGGAGACCTCACTTGACCTGACACCAGGCCTGACACAAAACAAGGCTTTTCCGTGGTCACCTGCTAGCTAATTCAATCAGCCACTATCAATTACTCACTTTACGTATCTTTTAGAATTACGTTTCTCAGACCATGTAAGGAAGAAATAATAGCAGCATCAAATAAAATAGATGGTCCCAGGGAGGAGAGTCTATGCCAGCATAGACAGACAGGGCCAGGCCACCAGACCTTAAGTGCCCTAATTCTTCCTTAATCCATGAACAAGTATAGTCTACCTGATATGGATGAAAAACGTAAAGCCAAAGAATTCAACCAGAGGCACTTCTGCTGGCTGCCACTTCAGTGCTTCATTAACCTGGAGCTGAAAATCAAAGGAGACAAAGGATATATCCATTTCATTCAAACTCACATTCACTTTCCATCAAATTCCCATTTTTCTCCTTAAATGGGTGCATTTTCATTTTGGGCTCATTATTTATTATCATTTCATGTATTTAGAAATGGAAACTTCAAACATTTTGATTAAGAGATTAAATAACTGGACTTTCGAAAGCTAAAAATAAATGAGCACATTTAGGTATGTGTTGCATTAAGTTTCAAAATATTTGTGGTTTTTGATCCAATCTCTCAATACATTATTGCCAAATATTCTTTCTTTCTTTTTAAATTTTAAACACATGTATATTTTAGGAGAAATTCCATAAAAAGTTTACAGAGTCATTGCTACAGATATGTGAGTTTTATAAAGAGCTTTTCTTTTAAAAGTTAAACAAATTCTTTCTAGAATAAAATTAGATAGTGAAGAAATTCTGATCCTTAAAAAGGCAATTATTTAATTTTCATGTTCTAACCAATTCTTCAAAAGCTATAGATATCAATTAATCAAATGCTTTCAACTTCTCCCAAGAAATGTTCCTCAAGAAACTGACACCAGATATCACTTACAAGATACTGTGCATTTTTTGTGTCTAGTGACTTATTTACTTTTGAAAACAGCTCTCAGAAGAAGGAATTATTATTTCCTGAAGAGCTGAGTCACTTGCTCCACATTTCAAAGGAAGAAAATGGCAGAACTGAGACTTCCCACCAAGTCTGCTTGAATCTAAAGGCTGAGCTTTCAAAATAATTGTCATTGTGTGTCTCTGAGCTGGCTAAAGGTAAAAGACACAAAATAAATGGCATGAAAATATAAACTTTCCTTACTTTATCTTAGATGAGGGAAAAAAAAAGAGAAGGAGAAAAAAGCAAAAAAATAAAGCACCATTAAATAGAGCTCTCAAATATATTTTTATGTCATAAAAGTTCTTAGACTTCTATAAACCCAACTTGGACCACTTAATTATATTTATAAAATACTCTCTGGGAGCTAACGATTAATTGGGAAAGTTAAATAAATGAACATAAATTACCACCACAATGAGCACTATCTTTTATTGAAGCACAAAAGCATCTCTTCCAGTACTTAATGGAGAAAAACTCCAAGAAGGAGAGTAAAATGCTCATGGCTTAAAAATGACTTTCAAGAAATGATTGAAGTAGATCAAAGACAATGCATTAGAGAAAGCTGAGTCCTGATGAGTCATATAATTTCATTTCAACTCCATTCGACATGCATTTATTGACAATCATAGAGACATATGAAAACCCATCCAAAAATTGTCATACTCATTTCATTTGAATTTGAAAAACTACCAAGGAAAACACCAATGGCTAGAATCATACAAAATTGTTTCTAAGGCAATTAAAGCATTCATAACTCTTTCAAGTGTCACATGACAGGACAGAGCCAGAAGTTATCATTATCACTTCTATTTAAGAGATACAAAAACTGAATTTCCTTGAGAGCAAAGGTCCACCCAAAGTTCATGTGACACATTAAAAAATGGTGCTACTCACTAGTCTCCTCTGTTTTATTCCAAAACTTCTCAGTTGGGCAGATTACACAAATGACATAAATGTAGTCAGATACACTCATATGACAGACGGTTTATAGTGCTAGTCAATATTTATCATTAGATTTTGGAAACATGGATACTCCTGAGTATTAAGGGGGCTGAAAATCCAACCCATTGCCTCCAAGTTTTAAGAAAACCAATAGATGACAGCATTCGACCACCATTTTCCCCCAAGAGAGTCACCATAAAGAAAGAAGATACTAAAATCCTGAGAAGGGCTGAGTCTAATGATTAGAGAATTGCAGAGAAATCTAAGGACTACTCAGGTTTTCCTGCATGCATGATTGAATGCCAAGTTGCTTAATTAGTCAAAAAAATTCCAGGGGGCATGAAACCAAGTACAGCTCCAGGCAATCCAGCAGAAGAGATTTCCATTCCTTTGTCTGCTCTTTAAGGGCACTGGAGAGCAAATAGTCAGTTCCAGATATAGAAGGACTATGGGATAACCAAAGAAATTTCTTCTCATTAAAATACTGGTTTTGACCTAAGGCCACTTAGAATTTTTCACTGTATTTTCAGTCAATCACATCTTATAAATAAAATAATAGTAGTTATAACAACTACCATTCATTGAGCAGCTATTTTATGCCAACTGTTTTCTCAAAAACAATGACAAAAGTGAGGAACATTTTTCAGATGGCTGTGAAAGTAACTTGTTCAATGTCAACACTAAGTGTAGAACAGAGATTTTACCCACGATCAATCTGGCCGAAACTCCCATCAACTTAGAACCGTACCATTCTAACTTCTACAAAATGCAGTCTCTCATTCTCTGATGTGTTTTTACAAGAAGAAATTCTTGATACTGTATACATGCTCACCTGTGACTCTGGGTAATGATTAGTTTAAAAGGGCGAGGTTGTTTCCCTTCTGTATGTTGAACCAAAAATTCAACTGTCAAACTTAGGATATGTGAAAGACATGACATAAATTAAAAGTGGAGACCATTCATTCATTAAAGTAGCTTACCAGGTCAGTACATAAAAGGAAAGAAACTAGATATAAACCTGTTACTTTTAAATGACTATAACATGGATTTGGCCACAAAGATATTCTTGGCTGGATTAATTAATTGCCCACTTATTTTTTTTCATTTCAAACTTTGAGCAGCAGTACTTACTTCATCTAAAGGAACTGCCTTGAGACAAAATTGGGCTTTGTGTCTCCACCCAAATCTCATCATAAATTGTAATTCCCCTAATCCCCACATGTCAAGGGAGAGACCACGTGGAGGTAACTGAATCACAGGGACTGTTTCCCCCATAGTGTTCTCATGATAGTGAGTTAGTACTCATGATGTCTGATGGTTTTATAAGGGGGTCTTCCCTGTTTGCTCAGCACTTTTCCTTCCTGCTGCCTTGTGAAGAATGTGCCTTGCTTCCCCTATACCTTCTGCCATGATTGTAAGTTTCCTGAGACCTCCCCAACCAGGCTGAACCGTGAGTCAATTGAACCTCTTTCCATTATAAATTACCTACTCTTAGGCTGTTCTTTACAGCAGTATAAAAATGGAGTAATACAGTAAATTGGTACCAGGAGTGTGCTGCTGATATAAAGATATTTGAAAATGTGGAAGTGACTTTAGAATTGGGTAACAGGCAGAGGTTGGAACAGTTTGGGGGGCTCAGAAGAAGACAGAAAAATGTGGGCAAGTTTGGAACTTCCTAGAGACTTGCTGATTGGGTTTGATCAAAATGCTGATAGCGATATGGACAATGAAGTCCAGGCTGAGGGCTGAGGTTGTCTCAGATGGAGATGAAGAACTTGTTGGGAACTGGAATAAAGGCAACTCTTGCTATGCTGAGCTTGAAAGAGATGATTTAGGGCATCTGGTGAGTAGAAATTTCTTAGCAGCAAGGCATTCAAGAGGTGATATGGGTGTTCTTAAAAGCATTCAGTTTTATGCATTCACAAAGGGATGACTTGGAATTGGAACTTATGTTTAAAAGGAAAGAAGAGCATAAAGTTTGGAAAATTTGCAGTCTGATGACATGGTAGAAAAGAAAAACCAATTTTCTGGGGAAAAATTCAAACTGGCTGAGAAATTTGATAAGCAGTGAGGAGCTAAATGTTGGTGGTCAAGATAATAGGGAAAATGTCTCCAGGACATGTCAGAGGTCTTCATGTTAGCCCCTCTCATTATAGTCCCAGAGACCAAGGAGAAAAAAGAATGGTTTTTATGTGCCAGGCTCAGGATCTTGCTGCTTCGTGCAGACTCAGGACTTGGTACCCTGTGTCTCAGCCATGACTAAAAGGGGCCAGTGTAGAGCTCAGGCCATTGCTTCAGAGGGAACAAGCCCCAAGACTTGGTGGCTAACATGATGTTGGGCCTATGGGTGCATAGAAGTCAAGAATTCAGGTTTGGGAACCTATGCTTAGATTTCAGAGGATGTATGAAAATACCTGAATGACCATGTAGAAGTCTGCTGCAGGTGTGGAGCCCTCATGGAGAACCTCTGCTAGGGCAGTACAGAAGAAAAATGTGGGGTTGGAGCCCCTACACTGAGTCCCCACTGGTACACTGGTACACTGGCTAGTGGAGCTGTGAGAAGAGGACCACTATCCTTCAAGACCCCAGAATGGTAGATCCACTGAGAGCTTGCGTCATGCACTTGGAAAAGCCACAGACACTCAATGCCAGCCCATGAAAGCAGCCAAGATGTGGACTGTACCCTGCAAAGCCACGGGGGCACAGCTGCCCAAGGCCATAGGAGCCCACCTCGTGTATCAGCATGACCTGGGTGTGAGACATGGAGTGAAAGGTGATTCTTTCGGAGCTTTAACATTTGACTGCCCTGCGAGATTATGGATGTTCATGGGGCCTGTAGCCTCTTCCTTTTGGCCAATTTGTCCCATTTGAAACAGGTGTATTTACCCAATGCCTGTACCCCCATTGTATATTACTTTTGATTTTACAGGCTCATAGGCAAAAGAGACTTGCTTTGTCTCAGATAAGACTTTGGACGTTTGGGTTAATGTTGGAATGAATTAAGACTTTGGGCTGTTGGGAAGGCATGATTAGTTTTGAAATATGAAAGGACATGAGATTTCAGAGGGCCTGGGGCAGAATGATATGGTTAGGCTTTGTGTCCTCACTCAAATCCCATCTTGAATTGTAATCCCCATAATCCTCATGTGTCAAGCGAGAGACTAGGTAGAAGTAATTAAATCATGGAGGCTGTTTTACTCGTGGTATTTTCTAAAGATAGTAAGTTAGTTTTCATGAGATCTAATGGTTTTATAAGCAGCTAGCCCCTTCACTCAGCACTTTTCCTTTCTGATCCCTTGTGAAGAAGGTCTTTCTTCCCCTTGGGTTTCTGCCATTATTCTAAGTTCCCCCAGGCCTCCATAGCCATGCTGAATGGTGAGTCAATTAAACCTGTTTCCTTTATAAATTACTCAGTCT